GTGCCAGTGCAGGCAAACCCTGATCCAGCACCCGTGGCAATCGCTGCTCCCACGGCCGTGCCAGAGGCAGGGAGTGCATCCACCAACCCACTGCCTGCAGCAGCAGAGGCTTTCCTGGGGTTGTGGCCTTTCCCAGAAAGGTAAAATGCTGCTCTTGGAAGGAAAAGCAGCATGGGGTCTGGGTGTGGCCCCTTGAGCCTTCCCCTGACATGCCTGGGTCCAGCCAGTGTTGCCTTGATGACTCACCAGTGGGACAATGACACGTTTCTGAAACATCTCACCGGTTTTTGGAGACTGGAACCAGATGACAAAGGGCTCCCTGGAGAAGACATCTTCATCCCCAGGCTGGGTGTCAGGGTACTGGTAGGTTTGTTTCACCGATACCAGATGTTGCCTGCAGCAGAATGGACAGGATAGGGAATGTCACACTTGTGGCTCGCTGGGACTTGTCTAACACTGACTCCATGCTCGGACCCAGACCCTGGGCCATGATCTGGGACAGATACAGCAGCACTGGTGGCTGTGTCTGGATGATCCCCACACCCAGGCACAGCCCATCCCACCCACAAAGCCTGCACATCTCCAGCTCCCACAGAGCAAAGCCACCACCATGTCCAGCCTATCTCTGTGGGACTGTGACCCAGAGGGCAGGATGAGGGCTGGCTTGTCGGCAAGGGGCCTCACTCACCTGTAGATGAAGGCATACTGCTCCTTGTAGCTGCTCCTTCCCAGCCTTTGGCTGGCAATGCACCTGTATTCATCCTTTGGCTCTTTTAGCTGGCTGGAAGGAAAGTGGTGTTCCTGAGTTCATTTCTGCACTCAAAAGCGGTTGAGAGGGAGGTAATTTTGCCTGTGCCCAAGGGTGTGTTGCCTGCCTGACCTCAGAGGCAGGTGGGTAAAGACACTAAGCCCTTCTCAGGAGCTGGACCCTTCTCCCTGCTCATTGCAGCCTCTGTCTCTCCTTCAGCTGGGTCTCACATCCAGCCAGCCAAACGCTGCTGTTTTGTCTGGACTGTCACTCCAGGCTGTCAATCCCTAATCTAAAGCAATTCCCAGCCCTGCAGGAAGGTGGCTGTCCTGCTGCAGCACCAGCCTGGTGAGGTAATTTCCCCTCTCTTCTTTTTTCCTTTGGGAATTAATCTGTAGCAAATTGAATCTAACGTGGTTATACTGATTTAAAAATGTGTTCTACAGTGGTCTGGAGCTGGCTTTGCCCCTGTCCCTCAGTGAGACTGCCAGAGCCTGGTCCTTCCTTGACACTGGGACAGAGCCCAAATCCTAAGATTTTGCCACCCGGCAGGGTGGCACTGAGCAGAGCACAGGCTCTTGCCAAGCATCTTTCCCAATATTTGCCCATTTGCCCTTGGCCACCCTACCTGGTGAGCTTCTCCACTAGGAGAGGACAAACACGGTTCTTGTTGTCCTTTATTTCCATCAGCAACATGATGTCACAGCGAGAAATGATCTGCAGGGGGAAGGAGCAGGAGGAAGTTCACATGTGGTGGGTTTTGGAGGATTAGGAAGGGGGTAGAAAGAAGTGGCTACTGGTGTGGGGGAAGTCCTTTGTGGAAGAAGTGGCACTCAGCCTGGGATCATGGGAGGGGAGCATTGGCTGGAGCGAAGCTCTTCTGCTTTCTGAGCAGCTGCACACCCCAGCACGAGCTGGGAGAGGAAACTCGGGAGCAGAGTGGTTTCAGATTTAGTGAAAAACTTCTGCACGTGCCCCTGAGGAGGAAGTGTGGAGGGGTAGGGGCAGCAAGAGCCACTGCCGTGAGCCTGATCCCCCCTGCCACTGCTGGGGGGCCGCCCCTGCCCACCCCCCTTTCCCTACGGTCAGCATTCACCTGCCCCAGTCTGTTGCAGACCCTCTGAAATAGCCCCTGGAGCCCAAAGCAACCTCCTCTCTGAAAACAGGGCTGCACAGCTCAGAGGGACAGCAGGGCTCAGCTCCTGCAGCGGCTGTTGGGATTCCCCACGGGAAAGCCCAGTTCATGCTCAGCCCAGCATGGTCAGAGGCTTCTCTCTGCCCCTGGTTTCATTGTTCTTTAAACTTTGTGGGTGATTTCTGTCAGGAAAAAAGCGCCCCTTTCTGCCCCCTGAAACTTACCCATAATTACCTAAATTACCCATAATTTAGTAGATATTGCCCACAGTGATGACAGTACAAGAAGAACGGTCTGCAAATGCAAAGCCCACGCAAACCCCTCTTCTCTGGCAGTTTGCAATCAAAGTATTAAAACCCAACTCCATGGTGCCGTTCCTTGTTGGTGCCATTCAGGACACACAGCCATCCCACTAATGCCGAGCACCACGTTCTCCCTTACTGTGGCATCTTGGAGGGCACTTGCAAAAGCTAAGAGTCTAAAATGTGGTTCTTTTAAAAGGCAGAGTTATCTTCAGCTGCTGCAGAGGCAGCCTGGTGGCGAGGGTTTGCTCACATAAATTAGCAATTGGGCTTTTCGGATTTGTACCAGACTAATACGACAGATACTCTCTGCTGTCCTGAGAATAGGTTTAATTAGACAAGAATATTTCAGAATGATTAGCACATAAGGAAGGCAAATAATGTATCACAAAACAAAGCTCTGTGGATTCGAAGTGAAAATTACTTTTACTGAGCACTGAGGTTTTCCTCCTTTCCTAACTCCATTTTCCAAAGGAAACAGCAAATGTTGTTTCTGTTATATTCTCACGCAGGCTAAAATAACAGCAAACATCCTATTCAACCACAGGCTGATTTTTACTTTCAGAGTATAATTTTTTTTAAATTATGCACTCATTTTTTCACTTGAAAAGAAAAATAAAGTGAAAGATAAATAAAGTTCAAGATTCCACAGCTAAGAAACCCTCAGAAAACTCAATGTCTGTCTCATCCAAGCAAACGAACGTACCTTTACCACGGCATCAACGACTTCAGGTCTGGCTATTTTAGTTTCTCCAAAAGACCTCACATTGAAGGAGCAAAGTTTTAGGCTCAGAGATGGGTTGAAATTGAAGAGTGAAAGTAAGAAGAGGAGCAACATCTTGAGGGACTTGGGCAAAATGAGTTGCTGCGAGTGTGCCTATAAATATGTATGTGTGTGTGTTTATGCACCCGTCCCTCTGCAGCTGGTTGGGAGATCAGATTGAGCAGTCAGCTGTATCCATCACGACCAGGAATAACCATTTCCTCCTTTCCCTCATTTCCATCTCCCAGCACAGAGCAGCATGGAGACTTTGAACTTCTGCCTGGGGGGAAAAGTGGCTCTGCTGAGCCAACCTCCCTGTCCTGGCAGAGCAACTGCTCCACCAGAACTCAGAATCCTTCCCCACAGAGAGACACCCCTTGTGGGATGTCTGCCATGACTGAGCACTAGCTGGGACCACTCCAGGCAGTGCTGGGCCAGGACCAGGCTCCCTGGGCCAGTCCAGTCCAGAGGTCAAGATCAGGAGATGGATGGAGTAGATGGTGAAAGGGTCTGGGAAGCAGCAGGGGTTTCTGGAGGGCACCAGAAGCCCCATTGGAAGAGGCAGCCATGGGAAGATACGTGATGCCCCAGCACTGTCCTTCAAACTCCTGGCCAGGTGTTCCCAGCACAGCAGTCTTGGTTTGTGCTGTGTGGTGGAAGGGCAGACATGAGTTTGGCTAAAACAGCACTTGAGTGAGGATGCTGCAGGTGGGATGGTTCAGTCACCCGAAGTGGCTTTTGCAGGGAAACCATCCCCCTGCCCTCCCTTAATCCTCTGCCACATGTCAGCCCTCGGACAGAGACACATTTGTTGGCCCCCAATCAAGTATAATGGCAGGAGGTATAATAAGAGGTCAAGCTAAATGACATCTTTAAGCATCTTGGATTTTTCTCCCTATGCTTACAGGGCACTTTCATATCCTCCTTCCTTTCTCTGGGAACAGCCACACAGCCTGCACCCCACTGCCCTGCTCACATGGCCACCCATGCAGGTCTGATCCAGAGGCACCAGCACACAGCTCCCAACACTGTCTGAACCAACTGAACAGGCTCAGATGGAGCTGGCACAAAATGCAGTTTATGGAGGGGCTCCCAAAAACGCAGCACAGTTGAAAGCAGTGGGATCCAGGTCTTGCTGGGGAGGCAGCTGCAGCTCTCCAGGGAGTGTGCTGCAGATGTTGGAATGGGCGCCACAAATCCATTTTGACCAGACAGGGATTTGGAGCACTGGCTGCTAGCAAGGGACATGCCAGTGTGCTGCCCCAGTGTTTGCTACCCAACCCAGCTACTGGGGAAGTGGGCATGTGACCCTCCAAAATAACAGAGCTTGGGCGCTGCTTCCTCTCCGCTGGGTCTCCAGTGAGCTGGCCCAGGGCAGGACAGGCTCTGGAGAAAACTAATAAAGAGGGAGGGAAAATGAAGGTCTTGGGCATTGTAAATCTCCCTCCTGACCTTCCTGAAAGCACAGCCTGAGCTAAGGGCTTGCGACAGCAGCTGCAGCCTCGGGGTCAGAGTCATCAAAACCCGCAGCTGACCCCAAAATAAGGCTTGCTTTGGCTACCCTGGCATCAAAGAGTAAATGTTTGTTGTGGTGCCCGCGAAGGCTCTGACCCTGAACTGCACCTATCAGTGCCATGTTTGTCCCCAGGGCCCCTGGCTTATCAGCCTCCCCTTGCCCCTCCACCTCAGGCATTATCAGGGGGACAGGCAGTGGCCAGGTGACCTGTTTGGGGGGACACTGGGAGCTCACATTCCTTTCTGCACTGCTTTATCTCCCTGTTTACTGCACTTCCTTTGCTCCTTATCAAACCATAAAACAGCCTCGATGGTGCATGAACATTGACAGTTCAGGCCTGCCCTGCTCTTGCACAAGAGGGTGAAGCTGCTGATGAAACCAACATAGGTTGGGGTTTCTGTCCCTACATGGAATGAGGCCAGGTGAGCAGCACCTGTGGGACATTCCTTAATAAAGCCCCTCCTCAGCCTCTCCCTCCTCCCAGGGGAGAGGCAGGTGATGAGACAGAAGGCAATGCTAAAGCCGTTTGGGCAAGAGCTCAGAGCATGAGTAGGTGCTGCCCAGGGCCCTTCAGCCGGGCTTTGCTGACAGCACCTACTGGGCATGGGGGCTGTGACTGCTGTGTTGCTACCCCTGGAGCAGCAGTTCAGCCCTCCATCTTCTTTCTGCTCCCAAGAAGGTGCTGTGGGATGGATGGCAGGATGTGTCCCTGTGTAAGTGCCTGCTTAGGGTCCCCATGGGACAGTGGGGTACAAGGGTCTGTCAGTGATGTGGGGGTTCCTCCTCTGCCTCCAGGCACAGACTCTTCCTTTTGGTCACAGTCCTGGCTGCCCTTGGGTCACCCACAAAATGGTTTTTCCTGGCAGAGATGGACTGAGAGGATTTCTGAGGTTTCCTGTGCCTTTCTGTGAGGGTTGCAGGCAGACATTGGGAGATGAGCCCACATCCCCTCCTGCTCTGGCAGAGGAAGCCCATTCTGGGCTTGGAGCACCGTGTGACTCACGGGGTGTTCAGTGGGGGGGAGCACCTATGGGGTATGAGTTCACCCTGGGACTCTGCTGAAGCTTCATTTCTCCTCTGTGGGCAAGACGTGGTGTCTGTGCTGGTCAGGGGTTTGATACTGCTGGGGTCACCAGTGCTGCTGTGTCCTTTCTACAAAGGGTGCAAAGGCTGGGCCAGTCTGCCTGAGCCCTGGTCTGTTGAGGTGCCCCTCCTGCCCCACTAAACAGCCCCATTAGCCTGTCCCCCTGAAGGGGAGCACGTGGCTCCAGGGAAGCACAGGCAGAACAGGCAGAGGTGATGCTGGGTGCAAGGGGGCAGTGTGGGGACGAGCACTGCCACACTGGTTCTCTCCAGGTGCCACCACAGCTCTGTTTTCCAGAGCTGGGCTTCCCCTTCCACATACCAGGCTTTAAGGTGTTTTGTGTTTCTTGATTTTTACCATTTTTACCCAAATTGCAGCTCTGTCTACATCTGCTGTGGTGAGGGGAGGACCAGAAAGGACCAACCCCAAAGTCACCAGCATCATCAAGAAAGTAGGTTCTTTGGGGCAAATGAAATGACCTTTGGTTTCTTGGTGACCTCATCACAACCATGAGGCAGAGTATTTTATCTCAGTCTCCTGGAATTTCAAGTTAATAAGTAGCAAAGCACTTGGGCCATTTCGTATTTCTAAAGTTTATAGCTGGGCTGCAGACCAAATATGGTCATTTGGGAAGCGGCTTCAGTGCCAATGTAATGGCAATAAGAGTCCTGGAATGACCATCTGGAATTTTCGAGTAATGGAGGGTAAAAGCATTTGGTGTGCAAGATACATGGAATGTTTTGAATCAATTCTTTGATGCTTAATTTTTATTTATAATTCTGGAAGGTACGTGTTCTATTTAATTACTCTTAGGGTATAATCCCTTTGGTGATCCAGGATAGGGTTTTCTTTTTCAACTTCATACGTCAGTATTGTTCAACTAGTGGCTTGAAGCGTGACAGCCTGCCTGCTATAAGGCAGTGCAAGGAAAAATGCCTCATCATGTTTTCAGTTTCCTGAATGAAGCCGTTTAGCTGAGCTGTAGGGCAGCACACAGTAATCTGAAATACAGGCTTTGATGCGTGACGAGGAGATGAGGCTTTGAAGTTATCCCTCCAGAAAGATATTGCAGCCACCAAATAAGCAGGTTTTGTGACATTAAGTACACCCGCATTGTTAGCAGGGAAAGATGTAATTAAAATGTGTGTAATATATGCGTTAACTTTCAGTAGAGTTAAGAAAGTATTATTTAAAGCTATTAAACGGAAAGTAGGTCTAGCTTTATGATGTTCTAAAAGGTGGGAGCTTGTGTTTGTCCCAGGTTGTGCAACGAAGCCACTGAAGAGTGACAGGGCAGCTGCTGAAAGCAGTGCCCAGAGGAGTTATTTACCCCTGTGCTCACTGGGAGCTGCTGTTTGCAAACTGGAGCGATCCAAGATCTTATCCCTGTCCTGGGGGGTGAATTTTGGTAGCTGTATGTTATTAAAGTCTCACACTGCTTTGGGCATGGCAAGGTCCCACGGTGGGCTCTGGGGCACCCGCCTGCCCCGGCGCTCTCCCGTGCCCACAGTCCCCTGGGGATTGCTCACGGCATCGTGCCACAGGGCCACCACCACGTGAGTGGAAATACATGGGGACTCGTCACCCTGGGAAGATGATTCACCTCACCAAGGCAGCGTGCCGTCACTTGTTATGATTACAAACAGCCTCACCATGTGCCCTGGGGATCCATCACCCAGCAGTGGGAAATAATATGGAAACTTTTCATCTGGTGGAGCAATACTGCTTCTCAGCTTGGTGAGGCAGAAGCTGGAGTTCTTCATAGCTACCCTGGCCTGATTCCAACCAGACCTTCTACCTTCCTATGGAAAACAAGACTGTTTACATGAAAGTCTCGTTTACTGGTTTCTGCCATGGGACAGCTAATTCTGATTAGTTTTAATTTTTTTATCCTGCGGTTGCTCTGATATAGGGAGACATTTTGTTTCTAACTGGATCATAAGTCATTGTTGTGGTCATCCTACATCCTGCTCACAGCATCAAGGTTGTGCTCTTGTGCTGGTGGGAAGCCCAGCTTCTGACCCTGGCATTGGGAATGAGTAATTTCCCACTGAGGGCCAGGAGAGCTGGCACTGGGCTCCAAAATGCCAGCAGCCTTGAGGGGTGACGCAGGGGTGACTCGATCCTCACCAGCTGCCACATCTGTGTGATGAGTTGTGTCTGTGGGCTGAGAGGAGAAACAAAATTCATGGGGCAGGTCAGTGCAGGCACTGGCCTTTAATTTTGGCTTGCCACAGTGCAGCCACCCCAAACATGGCCTCACAGACTCCTAAGGAGGTGCTCAGGGAGCTGCTGGGGCTCCCCCTGAAGCTCATCTGCTCCCTGCGGGGACAGGGAGCCCAGCTGTGCCCTGCACTCTCCCCACAGCCCCCCATGGCATCCGGAGAGCCCAAGGTCTCCTCCACTTTGCTGGGACAGAGGATCAGCCCCTGCCTGGCAAAGTCACCAGAGCACTGCAAACTGCCTCACCAGTGCTGTGACCTGCTGAAGCTGTGGTCTCATCCCAATGGTGGTTGGCTCGGGAGAGCCCTGGTGATCCCTCCTTTCCCCATCGCCAGTGAAGGAATCTCCCAATGACTCTTCCCTGTGGCTGCGCGCTGAGATTGCAAGAGCAGGTTCCCCGGTTGGCTCATGCCATGTTTCAACATAAAACCACTGCACGTCTCTGCTTCAGCTATTTTAAGAGCCATAATTCACCATGACTATCTCCAGGGACTTCCTACCAGGTGGCCTGGAATAGCCATGGTGTGGGTAATCCATCCCTGGAGCGAGTCAGCGCTGCCCTGCACGTGTCCCACGGGAGCCTTTGGCCAGGCACAAGAAAGCTGAACAAACAAATACGACTATAAACAATGTTTGGAGGCCTGTGAAGTACCTCCCACGTCCGATTAGGTCACTTTAGCGGAAGCTCAACTTTGTTTTGCCCAGCTTGACTGGGAAGCTCTTTAAAGAAAACCCAAAGCAGGCTGTGCCTCACCTTCACCAGGCCATCTAAAACCCTTGATTTTAGTTATAAATCTCTTCTAACAGCTCATGTTATCAAAAGCTTATGGTTATCGCAGTAAACTCTGACCTGGAAAGCCATTTATACCAGTTATCTCATCTCTCCCAGCTGGGCAGACCAAAGGGACATCCTTTATCAAAGCACAGGTGGGGTGAGGATTTGACCCAATTTGCATTTACTTAGGAGCTGATCTCATTTCCAATTTAATTAAGTTTTCTCATATTTTTTGGCATATCCTAAAGGTACGCACCAGCCTGATATATGACCCAAGGGGAATGAATGTAAATTGCTTATAGCAAAAGGATTCGGGTGGCAGTTTTAAGAAAAAACAGAGCAGATTTTAAATGCAGGTTGAAATGCAGCTCCTGAGAGCAAGCAGTGTCATCTGTTGGGAAGAGAGAGCAGGTAACAGACTTGTAACCTAAATGGCAGACTTACTCTTATACGGGAAATAGGACTTTTATCAGTGGGATAAAAGAGTGGGATCCCATCAGAGTGGGATGCTCTGATTTTAACCTTTGTGCCCTTTCCACAGGAAACAGGGCAGATCTCCGTGCTTTCTGATCACAGCCCACACCAGGACCTGGGAAGGGGACAGCTGTTCCCCATACCCATGTTTGCTCCCAGGCCTTGTGCAAGGGGACTATGAGGTCTCTCTGTGGGGTGCAGCACTGCATTACCCTTCATATCTCCCTGGCAGTCGCATTGCATCCCCTTTACCTCCCTGTTGTAACCCCTGTTGTATCCACCCTTGTATCTTCTTGTTGTAACCCTGTTGCTGCCATTATCAAATTCCCTTTTTTATCCCTGTTGCATCTCCATGGCAACTCCATTGTACAACTTCTGTAATCTCATTGGATCTTCCTTGAATCCCTGCTGTGTGTCCCTTGCATACCCCCATACATCCTTGTTGTATCCCTGTTGTAACTGCATACCCCACTGTACCCCCTGCACACCCTAAACCAACTACAGCCCTCCCTTGCACCCCCACTGAAGTCCCATCACATCCCTCTGTTGCCACTCTGTATCCCCTCCTTTGCACCTCACTGTAACCCCTCTTCCATCCCTCTTATACCCCTATTTTATATCCCACCTTGCATCCCAGTTATGTACCACATGCATTCCCACTGCAGTCCAGTTGCATTCCCCCTGCCACCCCACTGAATTCCTGTCACATCTACCATTACAGCTCCACTGCATCCCCCCACTGCACCCCCCTTTCCACCCCTGTTCCCTCCCATGGAAGCCTCATTACTTCTCCCCTTCCGCTCCTTCTGCAGCTTCACTGTACCCTCCCCTTCCACCTCCACTGCCGTCCCTTCACATCCCCCCTCTGTAGCCACCTCGTAGCCCGTGTTCACCCCTATTATACCCCATCTGCAGCCCCCCATTGCAGCCTCCCTTCCATCCCTGTGGCAATCGTCCTTGTACCCTCATGGAAGTCCCATTACATTCCCCACTCGTACCCCCACTACGGTCCTATTTCATCCTTCCTTGAGCTTCCATTGACGTCCCTTTACACGCCCCCACTGTAGCCACCTTTCAGCCTTTGGGTACCCCCGTTGTAGCCCCAAAGCCGCCCTATTGCATCCCCCCCTTGCGCCGCGTTGCAGCCCTCCCTTTCCCCCCTATTTCATGCCCCTTTCACCCCGGCTGTATCCCGCCTATCCCCCCTCGGCATCCCGCCCCGCGGAGCCGCATCCCCGCCTCTCGCTGCGCCCCGCGGAGCCGCACCGGCGCGGGGGGAGGGCGCAGCGGAGCCGCCGCGTTTCGCCGCTCGGCGCTGCCATTACGGCTCGGCTCGGCTCGGCACGGCACGGCACGGTGAGAGGCGGGGGGGGGCGGGATGCGGGACTGACAGTAGCAATGACAGAACCGGGGGGCGACCGAGGGGGCAGCCGTTCCGGCGTGCGGGTCTCCCCCCTCCCAACCCTGGCATCGCTGAGCGGGAGCAAAGCCAAAATGCAAGCAATAATTTCAAATGTATATTTCTAAAGATTTAATTAATTTGTCTTTAAATTCTCCCCCTCTCCAACAATTAATCATCTGATGGCACGGGGGTTGGAACAAGATGATCTTTAAGGCCCCTTCCAGCCCAAACCGTTCTATGACACTGTACGATTCTGTGGTCTCGGCTGCTGCTGTTTGGAGGATGCCGTCATTTGGCTGGAGGAGGATGCTTTGGTGGGGGGAAGGAACTTTGTGCTGGGAGAAGGGCCCCGGGATGTGGCCCCCGGATACCCCTACCCCATCCCTCCCCAACTCTTTCCTACCCCCTCTTCGCCAGGAGAGGGCTGAGTCCGGGCGCACTCGTGACATCGGATGTGCCGTGCATGCTCCGCTGCGTGCGTGTGCGGCAGGATGAGGATGGCGACGGGGTCCGGAAGGAGGATGGGCACGTTATGAATTTCTAAAACAGCAGCTGGCTGGCAGCACAGCCTGCTTCGGTCGTGCTTTTCATCCACCTTGTCCCCAGGCTGGCTGGCAGTGACACTGAGAGCTCGTCCCTGCATGTTCCCAGCCTGTGGTGAAGCAGCAGAGTCAGGGGCCAGCCCGGACTTTCCAGTTCATGTTTGAGCCATGTTGCACAGATACTAATGGATCAGAGATGCATGTTTTGTGAAATGGTGCTGCAGAAATAATGACCTCATTTCTGCCATCTATAAATAAATGAAGGTGAAAGGGCGCATTTCCTACTCTCGGCTCTCTCCGGAGGCTGGATTAAGATTGAGAGCTGTCTGGCTGACAGACAGAGATCTTTCACTAATAGATATTAAACTACAACTTCACTGTGATTGGCGTCTAAAGGATCACCCAGCAAACTACACCACTGGGGAATTGTAATATTAGTTATGTCATCTTTTATGGTCAATATGATTTTTCTGGCTGCTGAGGATGCCAAGGGTAAAGCAGTTTCCAAGGGAAAAGTGTCACTTTCATGTTTTGGGTTTTTCTTCTTACACGGTTAGTGGTGTGAGTCGAGGTTTCTGGGGGCCTCAGCCACTGAGGTCCCTCAAAGCTCCCTGTTTCTGCAGTGGGATCTTACAATTGGTTGATATTTTTTCCTTTTCAGATCTTAAAAGAAAAATTAACATATACCTAAATGTGCTGCTTAGATTTCAGCTATTCGGCGATTTAACTCTGTTGTCGATCAGACACAGACTGCTCTGGGTGCAGGTGGGGTAAGTAAAACCCTGGGTGCAGGGCAGTCCCAATGAGCACAGCCCAGGACAATCTTTGTGGTTGAATGTTGGCATGTGTGGTCAGTGAGGGCACATGTGTCATTCCTGTGTTGTGAAATCCCTCCCTGGCCTTGCTCAGGGCTGCCACTCTCCTCTTCCAACCCAGCACCTCCACCTTGGGATGGTTTTTGTGCTGCTGCTGCTGCTTCTGCATCCTATGTGGGGCTTGGAAAAAATCAATAGATACACCTGAGCTGCACTATTGGGTCTTCTCCAGCCTCCCTGGTATGACCCACTGAGCTCGAAAGAGAAAAAATACTTTTGTCCCATGGCCCTGGGGACTGTCACCAACATGCGACCCACAGCCCCCTCCTGCCTGGCCCCTCTGTTTGCAGGTGATGAGGCTCCTGTTTGAATTTGGCACAGGGTAGGAAGTAAGTGGAGATGTAGAGCCTCCCCTTAGCATCTGTCCCAGGACCATCCCATTACCTGGGGTGCCTTTTTTGGGGAGTCCTCCCAGATTGAAGGCTGCAGAGGTTAGTGATTGTCATTCAGCTCCCAGTGTGGGAACCAGTGCTCCTGGTTTGGCATCCTGTGCCCTGCCAGGTGCACAACACACTTGACATTATCACCAGGTGATCTATTACTGCCATGATCATATGTCATTTATCAGAGTTGCCTAATTGATGTTTGCAAATTAATTTATGAAATACGTGGAGATCCTTCTGAGAAGCGGTAGCAACACTCGAGGCCACTTGCTGTGACTCTTGGTCACAGGGCACCTCAAGGTGATGGATGAGCTGTGATCTGAAGACTTCCAGCTGTTACCAGGGAGCTCGCATTTATTTTTAAGTCCACATTGTCTCTAGCTGGTAGCAAAGGACCGGTGCAGCACGAACAGTGATCATCCCCTGGGCACAGCACCATCGCAGGGGGCTGGCACTGTGGGTGCTCTCACGAGGCGTTGGGAAGCCGGTGTCCCTGCAGCACTGCTGGGTGCAGAGGTGGCTTTATGGGGCTGGGGTTGCTGGGGGCTGTGGTGATGGTGTGGCTGCCCCCGAGTGCATAGCTGGGCCTGCTGGCATTTTCGTTCCCGCTGCCTCCATCGGAGGTAGCCATGGAGATCAGTGGCGATGCTCTGCCCACGAGGAAGGAGGCTCAGCAGCATCCTCGCCCCCGGGCACCCGTGGCCAGCAGGGGCCCCGAGCGGGGCTCCCTGGGTGCGCGGGGCCGGCATTGGGCGCAGGGGCTCACGTGGTGAGCGGTGTCTGCCGTGGCCCTGCCGAAATGCTCCGGCTCGGTGGGGACGGCAGCCCCTCGGGATACCCCTGGCCCTGTGGCCGTGGCGGGGTGGGGGGCGTCTCTCAGGGGTTTTCTGGCTCTCGTGCTGGGTGGCTCCGGTGCTCCCACTGATCCTCCACCGTGAATTTCCAGGGCCAAAATCTGCCTGCCAGTTCAGGCCAGCATTTTTCCTGCCTCTCCAGTAATTTCCTGCGGCTGCGCCGCGCTTCAGCCAGTCTCGCACAGGGAAGGGGGGGCACGGAGGGTGCTTGGAAAAGTACCTCTAAGACGAAGAGGAAGGGGAAGAGAAGCTGCTTAGCTGGCTTTGTTCTAATAGCAGTAATCACCTGAAGGGCGACCATGAGCCCACGCCGCCGGGTCCGCGCAGCCCTGGCCCTCCCCGCCGCACCGCCCCGGCCCTGCTTCCTCCCCGATGGCCGCCTGCACTTTGCTCCTGCTTGGCACAAGTGCACTCGACTGGCTTTATCGTATCCCCCATTACATAAATGGGAGAAAGGTTAGTCAGAAGGTGAATATGAGGCGTCTGGAAGGGAAGCCGGCGACTTAAATACCCCGAACTCGCCGGGCTGCCGAGCCTGAAGGGCGGAGAAAAAGCAGGACTGCGATTTTGACCTTGTTTTTTTCCCCTCTTCTGACAGTTTGTTCAGACACTGCCGCTGCCCACAGCGAGCAGGACTTGTGCCGAGAGGAGGAGGGGAACTCTGCAAGGTAAGCCGGGCTTTTTAAAGGTTGTCGGCTTCTTGTGTTGCTTTCTAAAAGCGGTGGTGGAGGTGGAGGTGGAGGCAGAGGTGGCGACCCCGCGCCAGGGAGCACAGGGATTCCCACCGCCCCCGCTTTTCCTGCCTGCTGCCTTCTCTCGTTACGAGTCACCACTGGGAACAATGGCGATTTTCTGTGCTTAATTTCTGCCCTGTTTTAGTGATGTAGCGAAAGGCAGCGAGCGCTCAGGGGTGGGCTCCCCGGCAGCCCTGCTC